CGACACAGTAATGAAACCTCACTGAAAGAAGGCTAGCCTGAATGATACAGTGTTTGGGTTTTGACATATTAAAAAGCATGTCACTATTAATATTTCATGGAAATAGAACCAGGTCATTAAAGTTTATATAGGGGTCATTTAGAAATCTTTTCATAGATAAGAGTTCTCTTTATATCCACTGTATTTAATTGTTTCTTTCAGAGTTCTTAAACATAGAGGATTAAACATCGACTTTAGAGTTTTGTTTGAATACTTTGTAAACAAATTCTTTTTTGAAAAAACCATGGCTAATTCAAACATGAATTTTTTCACCTGATCTTGTTCAGAATGTATCACAAATTTTCACTTCAGTGGAATCCAAGTAATGCGGGCCCTAACCCCAATTTCCAGAGCTGGTATCAGTTGACAGCATTGATGTTAACGTTACACTTTGCTGATGACGGTGCTAATGAAATATGAGATTATTGTGGGATAAGAATTGTATAAAAAACCAGACTTTACAAGGGTACATCATCACCAGGTAAACAGGCTTTTCCTTTTTTTTAAATAAAACGAGTGTTTTATATTCATCTGCCTCTTCTCTAAGCTCATTCATTTAACAAGATGGAGGAACAGGGAAGTTTGTTGAGGCCAAGCTGCGTTCCTTATAGGTGCTCGTGGTCCTGTCAGGCCACCTGTGAGGAGGGTGAGAGCAGGCAGATGCTTTCAGAAGTTGAAAGACCTGCTGCTAGGCTGCCAGATAACACGGAAAATACTGGGCCTGCGTCAGAACTTCCGTAATATTAATGGTTTTGTTTGCTATATCCAATTTTTTTTTTTTTACTCCCACTTTCAAATTTTTACCTTTTTTTTCTTTTTAAGCCTCAGATTTTCCTTCTGCTTTTCCTAGGCTTTCAACTTTCTGGATCAAAAATAGTTTAACCTTTCTTTCTGTTGAATGTAGCTTTCATGTCTGCTGTTTTGGCCTAGTGGCTTTTCTTCTTTCAGATCTTCAGCTTCATTTACAATTCATGGTTTTTTTTCAATGGTTAATTCTTACGACTTTTTTTGTATTTCAGTTTCTAGTTGTAGGGTTACCTAACCTTTTGAATCCTCTTTTTAGCAAAATGTGACTCTTTTCTTCCTTCCCCTTGTGTATGGCTTGCCTTGCTGAGTTTCCGGCTGCTTTCACACTTGCGGCTCTAGCCAGGCTCCCCCTCGTGCTGGAATTTTCCAGGACAGTTTCCCTAGACCTTCACCTGTGAGATCCTCTGGTTCCATAGGGTCTTTGTGTTCCTTTATGGAGACGGCAGGTTTGATGGAGTAGAAGTATTGGTTTTTGGCATTACATAATTCAGTCCTAGCAGGAAGACCAGTCATGAGCCCCAAGAAACAGCCAGTGGATTTGAGAGTGAAAAGGACCTTTTGCTTGTTGAGATTCGATTACAGAAGTCAAATCCAGAGACCCTGGGAGCGCCCCAGGCCTGATGCTGGCAAAGAACCAATAGTAGTGAATATGTGGGCGGGCATTTATCCCACAGCACAGCTGAGTTTTGTAGTCAGATTCCTGCGACTACTTTAGTCCCAGCCTACATCCTTCCCTCCTTAATACCGGGCAGCCTCACCCCCACTTCTGGAGGAGTCAGGAGAGAAAGGCTCCCTCACATAGTGAGAGCCAAGCAGAGCCTAGAACAGCGTTCATAAATAGGGCCAGTTGTCTTGCCTAGAGGTAATTGTGGGCTGTCAAATCTTGTCCTTGGTTAACTTTGGCTTACAAACAGGGTAAAATGTTAAATTGAAAAGGAAGACTCACTTCTTAATCACAAGCAATGGATTTCCCCACACCAAGAAAGCCCTAGGAAGCGCGGATATACATAGGAGGGTTTTTTCTGGATCTCTTACTTGGTTTGATGGGTCTAATATGGTGGCATCCAGAGACACTAGGATTTGATTACACTAGTCTAGTTCACCAGGTGAATATACAGCCATCCCTGTGTATCTGCAGGAGACTGGGTCTAGAACCACTTTCTGCTCTCCACCCTCGCTCCCACCACCTGTGGATCCAAAAATCTACTGATGTTAAAACTCCTGAAAGTCAGGCCTCTACCTCTGGATTCAAACCAGAGATACAGAGGGTCAATAGTCATAAATGTTTTGCCTTCCCCAAAGTAAAGGATAAGGAAGTATGAACGGTAATGGCTGCCTGTGGGCTGCATACTGCTTTGCATAATAGTGGCTAAATCATGACTTAGCCACTCAAGCAGAGTCAATGAAAACTACTGCATTTGTTCATCTGTCTTAATTCAATCTTTCCCATCCCACCCAACCAGACGCTCAATACTCATTCTCCAAGGGTGATTCAAGCCTTATCTCACAGTCTTTTCTCATTATCCCAAATAAAATCGATTAACCTCTCCTCCTTGAAAGTCTCATAAGCCTTAGAAGAAAGAACAAGAAAGGAAGGGAGGAGATAGAACCTATTTTACAATCTTGCTGAAAATGAAGAATATGTTCAAAGATCATTTTAATTTTAAAGATGGCAGAATGACACATGACACTGTTCAGCTTTTTCTTTTTCACACCCCATCAAAACTTCCAGTGTTTACACAGAGTGTTGCTATGCTTCATATATACTTCTCCAAATTTTCTAATAGAGATGCTTAAGCTATCACATAATTCTAAATCAACAAACCTTATGAAAAAGGGGTGAACTAGCAATGTCATACCCACTCAGTGCATCTGTTTTTTGGGTCATTTTGTTAAACAGGATTTTGGAGTTTCCCTGTGAATATGAGATTATGAAATCTACTTGAAGATACCAGTGTAATAATAAGTGCCTTTTTGACATGTTATTCAAAACTGGCAGATTTGTGAGATGATTGTCTCAGCTTTAGGTGTCTGCATTTGAAAAACTTGGATGTGGTCCTCCAGGATTCCTACACGTAGGGAGCTGGAAAAAGTGACTGTTTAAAGTCTTTCTAACTTGAAATTTCTAATGTAGTTTCTAAGACAAAACCTAAATAAAGAAAAATAATAAAAGATTCGAAGAAAAAAAGCTAGAAGGAAAAAGAATTCAAACTTGCAACATGGTTGCAACAGGCTGAGTCCACAATGAGCCCATCCGTTTGGTATGCCCATTTCATTTAAGTTCCCGGGACAAGAGCCTTGGAGTCATGATGTAACCCGGCAGTGCATGTAGCATTTCTCCCGCTCTGTGTAAATGCACCATTGATTTGTTGCTTCTGACACCATCAAGAGTATTCCTACAGACCCAGCCAGACAGCTGGGTCAGGCACAGCCAGACAGCTGGGTCAGGCACAGCCCAGAATGGGCCACACATTAACTCAGAAGCTGTTTTTCAGCCTTGAGTTCAAATTATTTCCAGGTTTATTCAGGATTGAGGAGCCCTGGTTCTAAAGGGAAAAGCCAAGGTGCTCCAACATTGTAGCAGGGAAAACACAGCAGTTCCAAGATGAATGCCAGACCCCTGCGACAATCCAGTGAGTTTTGTCCCTCTCAAGCTCACTTTCTGATTCAAATACACTGAATGTTTAGGTCCTTCCAAAATTCAAAAGATGAAATCCTACTCTCTAAAGTGATGGTATCAGGAGATGGGGTCTTTGAGAGGTAATTAGGCTGTGAGAGCTTTGCTGTCATGAATGGGATTAGCACCCTTATCAAAGAGGCCCCAGAGAGTTCATTGGCCACTGGAGAAGGTGCCATCTATGAAGCAAGAAGTGGGCCCTCAATGGTCACCAGATTTGATCTTGGACTTCCCGGCCTCCAAAACCATTAGAAAGAAATTTCTGTTGTTTGTAAGCTACCCAGTGTATGGCATTGTGTATGACTGCAGCCCAAACAAAGACACAAATCTTTACTTCCACACCCTAAAATAGAAATATGTGTAAAATTGGGCCTGTAAAATAAAGCAAACTACACTTTTTCTCAAAGGTGAATGAGTAAGGTTACTATTACTAATTGGAAAAAGAAAATAATATAGTAGATCAGTTTTTGATACCTGATCATTTGGACTTACATTTACTATGGCAATAGATGTTGAAAGTGATGACTAGCCAGGCTCAGTGGCTCATGCCTGTAATCCTAGCACTTTGGGATGCCGAGGTGGGTGGATCATGAGGTCAAGAGATCGAGACCATCCTGGTCAACATGGTGAAACTCCGTCTCTACTAAAAATACAAAAAATTAGCTGGGCATGGTGGCGTGCGCCTGTAATCCCAGCGACTCAGGAGGCTGAGGCAGGAGAATTGCCTGAACCCAGGAGGTGGAGGTTGCGGTGAGCCGAGATTGCACCATTGCACTACAGCCTGGAGTGAAACTCTGTCTCAAAGAAGAGTGAAACTCCGTCTCAAAAAAAAAAAAAGAAAAGTTTAATTTTTACAGGAATGGCAGTGTGCCCAATGAAAAAAACTACAGTCACTAGACTCTCTTGCAGCTAAAGGTGGTTGTGAGGCATAGTTCAGGCAAGATACACATTTTCTAGGGTTTCTGGAAATGTTCTGCTTCCTGCTATGGACACATATCCTCCCTGCTTCATCTTTCATCTGCTTCATTCCTGGCTTGCTAATGTAACTCTCAGATGCTTGGCAGTTACACATGCAGGACAGAAAAGCTGAAAGGTCAAATGAGCTGGCCCTGGAGCAGCTCCTCTGGGCCCTGGAATGAATACCTTCATACTGCTTGCAAGACAAATAAGCCTCTCATTTGTTCAAGCAGTGTCAAAGTTTCTGTTACTTTCAGTTAAATCAACCCCAACTAGAGAGTGCAGGTTGAGAAACATCAAAATTTTCCAACATTCCATGGATTTTATTCATATCAAGTTGTCTTCTTGATTTTCAGATGAAGAAGATCTTTAGAAAGATGTGCTTGCTGTCTGCATGCTTCGTTGCAACGGCCCTGCCGCCCTAAGAGGAAGACAGGTTTTGGGTCCTGTCTTGATGATAAAGGTAAAACTAAAAGACAGTCAAACTTCACCAAACTTCTCTTCTGAGGTAAGCTGTTGAATACAATATTTTATTGAATATAATAAAAACAGAAATGTCAGTGAATGCACCCTGTACTTCTATTAATGAGGATACTATTCTGGAATTAATATATAGAATTGATTGTATCATATATTACCTATTTGCAATGTTATTACATGCCATTCTCCAAGTATTTACAGGAAAAAAAAGGAACTTCTATGTAAAAGCAAGGAAAATGAGAGAAACGGTAATTTAAAGGGGGATCTAATTTCAGATGATGAATGCCAGCTGCCAGTGAACATATATGGACTGTGTTTTTGACAAAACTCACAGTCCCACCTTTGGCCATTAAGCCTAGAAAAAGGACCATTAACACCCAATTCCAGGGTTTAGAACTGTTACCCCTTTCATTGTTGATTCCTCATTTTTTAAATCATTAATGTGAGTGGCTACTCGCCTCCTTCACAAGGTGGTGGAGAGAAGGAAATTGATGCTGGTGCAGTTTTTTTCCACCTCAACTCCTTGGGTTGTACAATTTTGTGGGGATTCTCTGGGAAAACTTCAAAGCAATTTAAATAGACCTGTCCCAAGCATGCAAGTACAGAACTCGATGACCTTTCAGAAACAGTGACAAAGTTCAGAATCCCATTCTTCCATCCTAGATGGGAAACATCAATTTTTCCTGATGGTGAGTTTGACAGAATCCATCCCCAAAAGTGTGGGGAGCTGTTGGCAGGCAAAGATTTCTGTGAGTAGAAGAGGAAAAGAGAAAAAGAATTTGTTAGTTGTTTTCCTTGCCTGCCTCTCAATGTAGATGCTGAAAAAGCAAGATACTCATTTTTCCAGCCACCCTTGCAGAGCCAGAAAGCCCATGAGATTCAATAGATGTAAAGTTGAGAAAGACTTTCATTCCTGGAGGAAAGGAGACAGGCATAGGAGGAGAGTTTTCTCTTGCCATCTTTGCAATCTCCCCACTTTTGACGTGTACAGGGTCAAGAAAAGATGTGCTGTCTAGAAGTGTGGCAACTATTGGGGGGCCATGAATCATCAAACGTAAAGACAAAAACTAAACATGCTGCAGATGTGGAAATGCAAGGAAAGAAGAGCATGGGACCCCATGACAGGAAGCCACCCACCAGTCTGGGACATCTACCTCCTAACATCTTATCAGGTACACACTGAATGTCCTTTCTTAGCAAGGAGGCTGTTCCTCCCAGCTCTAGCATCCTGCAGTCTTGAAGAGCACACACTGACGCAGATGAATGGGATTGACAAAATCATAGGGGTTCAAGAAAGGTAACCCCAAAGACACTCGAGAACAATACAACTCTAACAGCTAAATCTTGAATGACAAGTCTCAAACTTAGCATGGTAGTTCTTGGAAATATTTACCTGGCAGAGTAAGAACCTGCTGGGACAATTTCAGGGTTCTTCAGCCACTGAGTTGATTTTAAATCAAGGCCAGACGCCTCTGGGAGAAATTTGGAATATCTTCTTCACTGAGAAGGGGTACAATAAGCACAACTATAAAGATCAAGGAAACCCTGAGAATAGTTTCTTACATTAATACAGCAAACATATCCCTGAAGGGATTGATAATTTCATTTTGTTTTTAATAATAATTAATCTTTGCAGTATCCTGGTGGAGAGGTGGAGGGATGAAGGATGATTACTACCACTGTAGAGGGGAAAAGATAGGAAGAACATGACATGAAATGATTACCTGGAAGCCATAGTTAAAATGTATCCCCATGTAGACAGCAAGTAAGACAGCAGAGGTAAGATTCCAGATAGCCTAAGTTGTAGTCTGTCCTCTGTCCCTCAGGCACTCTCTCTAATGACTCAGCAGGTCCCCATGAGTCACTCAGTGCCTTGCACCTCCCAGAAACTAGGCTAGGATATAAAGAGAACGCAGATTAAAAAAGCAAACCAAACTAACTCATTGAAACCATTATAATTAACGCTCCCTAGTCATTTTTCAACTCTTAAACCTTTAGAATAAAAATGCAGAAAAGAAAAAAGGAAATAAGGAAATCACCAATATAAAGAAATATGTAAGAATGCTTATTCCTAATACTTAAATGTCAAGAGATATTGTCAAACAACTTACAAAGTAAGCAAAAACGGAATAAGTAGGAGTAGCAGAGATGAGAGACCTGTTATAAACATGTTCAGCATTGCGAGTTAACTGGGGTTGTCAGCAAATACAACTTCTTATTTGTTAATAAGGCATACTATAATTCTTTCAAAATAACATAAATGGCTTGAAATAAAGTCCACATAAGCCACACGGCCTTTAGAATATAAATAACACTGCCTGAATGCAAACCCTTGCCTTGCCACGTGCTAGCAATGTCATTTAGCTTCTCACTGCCTTAACTTTTCTGATTAAGTTTATTTCCGTAGTGATTACAGCTCCAGCCTCAAAGGGCTCTCACTTAGGAGTGAATTTATCTAAAATTTTTGAAATGGCACCTGGCCCAGAGTAAATATTATGCAAGCATTTATTATTACAAGAATTGAATAGTGTAATTAACAGATATTTTAAAACATTCCTATATATTTAATATAAACATTTGGAAGATTTTAAAGAACTGATCATATGTTAAGACTTTAATATCTCAGCAGATTCTAAAAATTACAAAATATGAAACCCACATTCTCTGGCTACACTACAATAAGTAACCAATACTTATTTTTTAATGGTAACATTTAAACACCCACTCCTTGCCTTAAGCCACCTCCTGAATAAGACATGTTGTTTTCTGGGGGTGAGAAGTTGGTTGATTAGTGGTGGTGGCATTTTTCCTACCATGGAAGCAGGAGAAATTTTCCCTTTTTCTTTGTTAAGCTAGATAGCTGGTCTTGAAGTCCTTGAATTCTGGATATCCCTAAACTAGAAAAAAGCTAATTTTGTTTTATGAGGCACATTAGGGGAAACACGTTTTGTTCTGGGGGTGAGAAATAAAAGTGGCCCTTCCTGGGAGTTAGTTGGATTGTATGAGACTAAGAGTTGGGAGTGTCTTCAGGTACAGGGCTTTGGGTGGGGGCTGGCTCCTGTCCGCCAATAAAGAACCAAGCACCGTGGCTTCTGGAGCTCAGCCAAGATCCCCATGGCCAAATTTGATATTGAGGGTGTGAAAGTCATTATAGGAACCTGTCTTCTAATAAAATTATGTTGTAGGCATCTGTTGTTACATAATAACCTGTCCCAAAACTTTTCATTGTTGGCTTACAACAAAAGCTGTTTTATTACATCTCCTGATTTTGTGGGTCTGGAATTTGGATAGGGATCAGCTGGGTGGTTCTTCTGTTCTTAGAAGGGTTGGCAAAGATCACTCAGTATTATTCACCTGACAGATGGGCTGGCCTGGTGGGTTCTAAGATAGTTTCCTACACAGGAAGGCTTTGTGCACACATCTGATCGAGGACTGCTGAAGAATCAGCTTAGCAGGGTTGGCTGAGCAGAGCACCTACATGTGGCTTGTACAGCATGACGATCTCAGTGCAGCCAGACATTGCAGATGGTGGCTCAGGACTTTAGGAGTGAATGAGACTGTCACTGGTACTGTTTACTGGTCGGTGCAGTCACAAGGCAGCCCAGATCAAAGGAAAGGGCTCATAACCCTCTTCATAGTAGGAATGTCAAAACCTTTGCAGATACAACTTTAAACCGCCACAGCTATGTCAGTAAAAGCTTAGGGGAACATCAAAATGAACCGGAAATCAGGGTTATTTCTCCCATTTCACGGACTGTGTAAGCCACCAGAATTCATGTATAAACGTACCTGTTGGAAGAGAAGCCAGAAAAAGGCTGATGGTTTGAATTAAATACTTTTAATCACTTCAAGAAAATATCCATAAATTCTTATTTTACTAAAGTTTTGAAGTTGTTACATATTTAAAACAAATGTATTCATGTAAAAAGTACCACAGAATTTAAAATATCTCTTCTTCACTGTACCTCAACAGATTTCTGTTGGCTGCTGTGGCAAATATCACACATTTAGTAGCTTCAAATAACACAAATGTATCATCTCACAGTCTGGAGATGGTGAGTCCAGCACAGGTCTCGTTGAGCTAAAATCTCCGTGTTCAAAGTGCTGGGTTCCCTCCTGGAGACTGTTGGGGAGAATCTATTTACTTGCCCACTTAGCTTGCTGGCGGAATTTAGTTCTTTGAGGTTGTAGAACTGAGATCCTCATTTCCTAAGTCCCATTCCTAAGTTCCAAAGGCCGTCCACATTCTTTGGCTCAGGGCCTCTCCTTCATCTTCAAAACCAGCAATAGCAGGTTCAACTCTTGTCAGACTTCATGTCCTTCTCCCTCTCTCTGACTTCTGCCAGGAAAGGACCTGCTGTGAAGGACTCAGGTGATTACATTGTCTGCATTTAGATGAATCCAGGATAATCTCCCCATCTCAAGACCCTTAATCACATCTGAAAAGTTCCTTTTGTCATAAAAGGCAATATACTCACAGTTTCTGGGGATTAACATGTGGTTATGTTTGGGGGCCATTATTCTGCCTATCACACTCAAAGCTCCGCATCTGAATTCTAAAATCTTCTTGCTCTATTACCAGTGTATACTACTATTTCTGGATTTTCTTGTTTAGGTTAGACCTTAGCATTAGGGTGTTAGCTGTTGACTTACTTTCATAAATATAATGCTTTAATCCTTTTATATACTCACACACTCACACATGTTCATGTAGTTTCTTCCCTCGTTGTCCCAAAAATATTATATCCCAATTTTTGGAGGTATTCAAATTATTGTAAGCAAGTAACTATTTTTGTAACTGAAACATATATTGCGCTATGATTGTTTTTTCCTGTATAACTTTTAACTGCAGTCTCATTATTTGTCACATTTTTTTCATTCACTTAATTTTCTGTGTATCGATCATCTTTGAAGTTTTCATCAGAATTGGAAATTATTTCTCAGTACATTGGAACACAACAGATAATCTATCCATGTTTCTTTTTTTTTTTTTTTTTTGAAATATCGCTATTTCCTTTGAACTTGGATGACTTGCTTTCTAGTCTGCTATAGCTGCTATTCTTAAGATATCCTTAAGTCAGTCTTGGTATCACTCCCAGTGATTCTTGGTAAGTTATCTTATTATCACTCCCAGGATTCCCTTTACATTGCTCCTGTGTTGGGGAACACCTCTCTGTTGGTTTACTCCTTCTTTTTGTTGGAGTACATCCTCCAGTAGCTCCCTGAGAAAAAGTGCATGATTTTTTTTCTTTTTTAGTTTGAATGCCTTAACATCTATTTATTCCACTCTTACATTTGTTTAATGATTAGGCTATGTATAGTATTCTGGGTTAGAAATCTGTCTACCTCTGTCTCCAAAACAATGCTGAGATTCGTGGGTGTATGGTGTGGTCATTGGCCTACATGGCATCTCATAGCAAGGGAGTGACGGAGAAAGATACTTGTGAAGGGAGAGTTAACCAGAATGATGACTCCCAAGAACATTCTCAGGAAGATTCCTTTTAGAAGAGAATAGACATGGTACTTGCGGATCTGGGAAGTAATTTTTTTAAACTATCCATACCGGCTTCCTTAAGAGAAGTTTATGCGTGCTTAACTTCTAGACTTTCAAATGTACTGACCCCAGTTTGCATACTGCTGTTCTAAAACGTCAGCTCTTCCTGGAAATGTGGGAACCAAGAGGTAGAGAGACATAAATACCAGGCTCCCTCTCCTCTTTACTTATCATCTTCCAAAACCAGAGACAAAAAGCTTTAGCTATTTCTTTCTTCTGCAGCATATTGTTTTTCCACCCTATAGAGCATCTTAAAAGTGGTTTGGTGACCTCTTTGTGATTTTGATGTTCAGTAACCTAAATTTCTTTAGATTCTAGAATCCAGAATATTCAAATATGGCCATCAGTGATGACAATTGTCCTTTATTATTTTTCCTTTTAAATGCATATTAGAGGCCAGGCACTGTAGCTCATGCCTGTAATCCCCGTACTTTGGTCCGGCTGAGGCAGAAGGTTCACTTGAGCCCAGGAGTTCGAGACCAGCCTGGGCAACATGGCAAGGCCCTGACTTAACAAAAAATATAAAAATTAGCCGGGTTTGGTAGTACATGGCTGTAGTCCCAGCTTCTTGGGAGGCTGAGGTGGGAGGATTGCTTGAGCCTGGGAGGTTGAGGCTAC